CCCCTCTGCTCTTCTGCCCCTCTTCTCTGTTAACCTGCTCCTCTGCCCCTCTGTTCGTCTGCCCCCTTGCCTCTCTGCCCCTCTGCCTGCTTTGCTGTATCTGGCCTGTCCCTCCGGCCTATATTTTTTATATTTTTAACACGATTGTCTGTGTTGGTGTCCTCATGCCCAGGGAGCACATGCCTGTGTTAATAATGCATGGGCTGTTCTTACCTTTGTGAAATGACATTATCCCAGAGCACAACAGCATCACGCCCGGGAATGCAATTATATGGCAGCTACTTGTTTTGCTATTGTAGAACGTTTGCTTTTGTGAAGGAACAAGTAACAGGTTTATTCCATACTGAACAGAGACGAGAGAGGTGTGGCACCTGAAGAAGGCTTCACAGCCGAAACGTGTTTTCTCTCTTCTCTTCTCAGCGTGGAGTAAACCTATTACTTGTTCCTTTGCAGCCTACACATGCTGACGCAGCCACCCACCTGAGCTATTTGCTGTTGTAGCCTGGTTCGTGCTGTTGTAATCAGATACAATAAACAGCTCTTGCGAAGTATAACAGAGGCACAATATTTTTCTAAGGCAGGTAGATGAGGAAAATTGGCATTATCTCCTCATTTCCAGTGCTGTTTAGCTAATCGGGGTAACCAGCCTCTTTGTTTTTCATCCTCCTTTACAAACAGGGGGTGACTAAGAAAGCCAAAAGCATCAGGGAGTGTGTGTCTCACCCCCTCCGTTGCGAATTCACACTTCTCCCATCTGGGAGATGCCTCTGTGCCCCCAGGTGTAAAACCAACAGACGCAGGAAATCTTTCATTCCCACTGCAAGTACACAATGCAAAGTAACTACCTTGTCTCTTGTTTCTCATCTCCTGTAACACTACTGTATTCTCTTCCACTTTGGTGCTGTTTATCTGTCATTGTGTTGTGTTTGACTGCGCTGTAAAATAAATTCCCCCAGGGGGCAATAAAACTGGAATTGAATTGATTCTTTGGCTCCGAGCTGGAACCTGACAATTGTCTAGCTGCCACAGGGGGTCAGCAGAGTTCAGCAAGTCCAGTGAGGGTTATGTCCCACTTAAGTCCTAAAGGTGCTTTTCTCTGAATTGTATACCGGTGCTCGACTGTGTCATTTACTTTCCTCCTCCTGTGTTTCAGGATTAACAACTGTGTGGGAGAGCTCAACCAGAAATATTTCATCCAGTTTCTGTTTTATACAGGTAGGAACACATATTCACC